TAGAGACGGGGTTTCACCGTGTTGACCAGGATGGTCTCGATCTCTTGACCTCGTGATCCACCCGCCTCGGCCTCCCAAAGTGCTGGGATTACAGGCGTGAGCCACCGCGCTCGGCCTCCTCTCCATGGTTATATTTATTCAGTAAAAGATTGCAAACAGGTTCTAAGTCAACACACCTGTGGATAATTAACATGGTTAAAACAGTGGTTATACGAATGATAAAAACTTTAGGTTCTGGGCCCAGAGTAAACAGTGTTAACGGGTAATTCTCCTTTGATCTCCCCCTGAGAGGACCATCCAGCACAAAGTTTACATGAGTAAACAGTTAATGTAGAGACAAAGGGATGTGAGGTGAACGGGTTTAAGCTAGGAAGCCTTTTATCCTCCCTCCCCCTTCCGTGGTAATGGACTGACCGGCTGGCCGGCCACCTTTGCCCTGCCCCAGGGAAAACTTTTGGCCTTCCTAAAGGTTTGAGACTAATCTACAACTTTCCATAATATTTTCTGTAATATTTTGTCAGCCACCCCGAGTGAATTCCAACAATCTCGTTCTTTTTCATGGCTGCCTAATATTCCATGGTGTGCATGTGCCACATTTTCTTTATCCAATCTGTCACTGATGGGCATTTAGGTTGAGTCCACATCTTTGCTATTGTGAACAGTGCTGCAGTGAATATTCATGTGCATGTGTCTTTATGATACAATGATTTCTATTCCTCTGCGTATATACCCAGTAACAGGATTTGTGGTCGAATGGTAGTTCTGCTTTGTGGTCTTTGAGGACTTGCCATACTGCTTTCCACATGGGCTGAACTAATTCACACTCCCACCCCCGGTGTGTGTGACCTTTTCCCCACAACCTCACCAGCATCTGTTATTTTCTTTTTGTGATAGCCCTTATGGCTGCTGTGAGATGGTATCTCATTGTGGTTTTGATTTGCATTTCTCTAATAATCAGTGATATTGAGGGTTTTTTTTCCATATGCTTGCTGGCCACATGCATGTCTTATTTTGAAAACTGTTCATTTTTTTTTTAATTTTTATTTTTTAGGCTAGTCAAGTGAAGCAGTGGGAGTAGAGCAGTAATAAAGAAATCTATAACTGGTCGAATTGTAAACACCACTGCACTCAGACCAGCCCCATTTTCTTCATTCACTTTTTAGTGGGGTTGTTTTTCTCTTGTAAGTTTGTATAAGATCCTTATAAATGCTGGATGTTAGACCTTTGTCAGATGCACAGTTTGCAGATGTGGTCTCCCATTCTGTAGGTGGTCTGTTTACTCTGATGATAGTTTCTTTTGCTGTGCAGAAGCTCTTAAGTTTAATTAGATGCCACTTGTCAACTTTTGCTTTTGTTGTGATTGCTTTTGGTGTCTTTGTCATGAAATCTTTGCCTGTTCTTACGTCCAGGATGATATTGCCTAGGTTGTCTTCCAGGGTTTTTATAGTTTTGAGTTTTACATTTAAGTCTTTAATCCATCGTGAGTTGATTTTTATATATGATGTAAGGAAGGGGTCCAGCTTCAATCTTGTGCATATGGCTAGCCAGTTATTCCAGCACCGTTTATTGATTATGGAGTCTTCTCCCCATTGCTTGTTTTTGTCAGCTTTGTTGAAGATCAGGTCATTGTACATATGTATGCAACCTTGTTTCTGGGCTCTCTATTCTGTTACATTGATCTATATGCCTGTTTTATACCAGTACCATACTGTTTCGGTTACTGTAGCCCTGTAGTATAGTTGAAGTCTGGTAACACGATGCCTTCAGCTTTGTTCTTCTTGCTTAGGATTGCCTTGGCTATTCAGGCTCCTTTTTGGTTCCATGTGAATTTTAAAATAGTATTTTCTAGTCCTTTGAATAATATGCTTGGTATAATAGTTTGATAGGAATAGCGTTGAATCTGTAAATTGCTTTGGGCAGTATGGCCATTTTAATGATATTGATTCTTCCTATCCATGAGCATGGGATGTTTTTCCATTTGTTTTTGTCTTTTCTGATTTCTTTGAGCAGTGTTTCATAACTCTCATTGTGGAGATCTTTCACCTCCCTAGTTAGCTGTATTCCTAAGTATTTTATTCTTTTTGTGTCAGTTGTGAGTGGGATTGCCTTTCTGATTTGGCACTCGGCTTGGCTATTGCTAGTATATAGGAATGCTAGTTATTTTTGTACATTTATTTTGTACCCTAAAACTTTTCTGAAGTTGTTTAGCACCTGAAAGAGCTTTTGGGCTATGTGGTTTTCTAGATATAGAATCATGGTGTCTGCAAACAGACAGTTTGACTTCCTCTCATCCTATTTGGATGCCTTTTAATTCTTTATATTGCCTGATTGCTCTGGCTAGGACTTCCAATACTATGTTGAATAGGAATGGTGAGAGACAGCATCCTTGTCTTGTGCCCGTTTTGAAGGGGAATGCTTCCAGCTTTTGCCCATTCAGTATATGTTGGCTGTGGGCTTGTCAGTGCTTACTTTCTTTTCTTTACCTTATTCTTTATTACATCTTCAAATCATCCCACATTTATTCATTCAGTCATCCATTTATTCATTCATCCATTCATTCCTCAGCATGAATGCCTAAATAATATAGCTTTGCTTCACTGTTTCTGAGCTTTATGTAAATGATTTATATGGCAGCTGTTCGTTGGTATCTGGCTGCTTCTATTTCAGGCTGTATTTGTGAGATTCAGTCTTGTCTGTAACTATAGTTCATTCACGCCCTTTGTTATGGAGACTTTATATAAATATCTGTAACATATTTATCCATTTTACTGCTAATGAATGTTCAGTTTGTTTCCAGGCTTTGGGTATAATGATGCTGCTATGAACATTCTTGTGTATGCCTTGATGAGGAAGATTCGTGTTTGCGTTTCTGTGAGGTGGGTGGGTGGAATTGCTGGGTCACAGGGTATATGTGAGTTCAGCTGTTTTCGGAAGTAGTACACATGTGCACAGTTTCCCAAAATGGTTGTACCAGTTTATCCACTCCCACTAATGATACGTTACAGTCACATTGCCTCATCATGCTCTCACAGACATTGTGATTGCCAGTGTTGTTGTTTTGATATGGAGTTTTGCTGTTGTTGCCCAGGCTGGAGTGCAATGGTGTGATCTCGGCTCACCACAACCTCTGCCTCCCGAGTTCAAGTGATTCTCCTGCCTCAGCCTCCCAAAAAGCTGGGATTGCAGGCATGTGCCACCATACCTGGCTGATTTTGTATTTTTAGTAGAGACAGGGTTTCTCCATGTTGGTCAGGCTGGTCTCGAACTCCTGACCTCAGGTGATCTACCTGCCTCAGCCTCCCAAAGTACTGGGATTACAGGTGTGAGCCACCACACCTGGTCTATGCCAGTGTTTTTTATGCCAGTGTTTTTTAATGGTGGATGTGTAGTGGTATCTCATTGCAGTTTTACCTTGCATTTCCTTGCCAATTAATGAAAGTGAGAACTCAGGCATATTGGCCTTTTGGTTATATATGTTTAAGCACTGCCTGTTCACATTAGCGACCACTTTTCTCTGGGTTGCCTGATTTATCTTCTTTATTGCTCTATGAACCTTATTTATATATTCTAGATCACACTCTTTATCAGTCGTATGTATTATAGGTGTCTTCTATCTTACTTGCTTTTCACTCTCTTAATGTTATAATTTGATGGAAAATTTTGTTTTACTATAGTAAATTTTATCCTTCTTTTCATTTGTGGTTGGCGTTTTCATGTCAGTTAAGGAAGTCCCTCCCTTCTCCCAAGGACATAAAGATATTTTATTGCACAGTCTTCTAAATCCTTCACATTCAGAACCATCATCCACTCTAATAGATTTTTGTATGTTATTTTGGTCTGTCTTTGAACATTAAATAAAGGTCATGTTCAAGCTTTATTCCTCAAATGGATGCACAATTCTCCTGAGAGCACCCACAGTCTTTGTGAAAGACTACCCTCCTCACTCTACACCATCACCTGTGCCCTAAGTCAAGGGTTTGTATATTCATAGCTCTATTCTGGGTTGGCTGTACTGTTCCATAGGTCTGTGGATCTACCCTGTGTCAATACTCAGGTCTTGACTACAGTAGCTTTATAACAAGTCTTACACCAGTTAAAAGCTAGTCTTCCCACCTTGTTTTGTTTTGATTTTTCCCCATGAGTGAGTTTTGGAAAGTTCTCAGTCATCACCTCTTTGTTTCTGTCCTTTTCCTCACTCTCCAAATATGTATTTGGTAGGTCTCACCGTAGCCTCTACATTTCTGTATCAATCAGGATAGACTAGGGTGTTGACATGGTCTGCCTCTGTGTCCCCACCCAAATCTCATGTTGAATTGTAATCCTCTGTGTTGGTGGAGGGGCCAGCTGGGAGGTGATTGGATCATGGGGGTGGATTTCTCCATGCTCTTCTCATGGTGGTGAGTTCTCATGAGATCTGGAAGTGTGCAGCACCTCCCCAACTCTCTCTTCCTCCTTCTCTAGCCATATAAAATGTGCCTGCTTCCCCTTGGCCTTCTGCCATGATTGTAAGTTTCCTAAGGTCTCCCTAGCCATGCTTCCTGTACAGCCTGCAGAACTGTGAGCCAATTAAACCTCTTTTCTTTATAAATTACCCAGTCTCAGGTAGTTCTTTATAGCAATGGGAGAACAGGCTAATACAGATGTGCTGTGGAACATGCAGTCTCCAAATCTCAATGGCATAAAACAAAATGAGTTTATTTTTGACTTATGCTACATGTCCATTGAGGGTTAACAGAGGGCTTCTGCTAACTGTAGCCTTTTAGGGACCCAGGCTGACAAAGCGACCACCATCTTGAATATTGTTGGTCAGTATACCAGAGGGAAAGTGTTCAGAAGGGTCTGGCACAAACACTTCTACTTACAGCTTATTGGTTGGATCTAGTCATTTGGCTCCACGTAACCACAAATTGGTCAGGAAGTGTAATCCTATGCTATGTCTAGACGGTGGAGGGATGGACATGTTTGATGATCAGCATCAATAACTACCACAGTTTTTTACCCTCTTTTCTGTATTTTCCATCCTTTTGAGTTTATTCTGCATATTTTCTTATGACATGTTTTCCAGTTTACTAATTCTCTCTTCAGCTGTATCCAGGTAGTTATTAAACTCATGCACTTTGTTCTTAATTTTGGTTTTCATGTCTAAAATTTTATTTGGTTCCAGTTCTCTGGTAAAATTCTTAGTCTAGTCTCTCTTTTGAGCAGAGTAAATATAGTTATTTGAAAATCTGTAGATAACTTTAATATCCTGATCCCTCATGGAACTATTTTTATAATCTGTAGTTTCTGCAGATTTTTGTTTATATTGTCTTGTATTTTCCTGTTCCTTTTTTATTTTTTTGAGTAGAGTCTCCCTCTGTCACCCAGGCTGGAGTGCAGTGGCATGATGTCAGCTCACTGCAACCTCTGCCTCCCAGGTTCAAGTGATTCTTGTGCCTCAGCCTCTGGACTAGCTGGTACTACCAGCATGCTGCATCACTGTAGGGCTGAGGGCCCCATAGGGTTGTGGGGTGTGCCGTATGCTGTGCTGAGGCGTAGGGTCCGAGAAATAAAGAGACAGGACAAAGAAGTACAAGGAAAACGCAGCTGGGCTTGGGGGGCCACGCCACCTATAAGTGTAGTCAGGTGAGGCCCCGAATGTCCAGAAGCGTATTTATTGTGTATAGGTTAGGGGGCAGGTGGTGAGCAATAAAACATGGGGTCCACCCCCATTAGGTCACCTAGGCCAGGAGGTGGACAGCGCGCAGCAAGGGGCCTGTTCCCACGAAGGCAAGGGCCGTGTGCAGTAAGGGGTCCACCCCCATTAGGTCACCGAGGCTTGAAGGTGGGCTGTGTGCAGTGAAGAGGGTGCAGTGTGCAATACTTATATCTATGGGAAACTACTTCTAAGAAGATTTATAGGAGGATGCCTTAAGTCACACAGCAGTGACAGAGCTGTCAGGGTTACCGCCACCTCCTGGCAGCTTCCAATGGGTTCTATGGGAAGATGCTTTTCGAGCAGCACAGTAGCAAGAGCTGATAAAGTTCACAGTCACCAAGGTGGATCGCCGGTCTGAGGGCAGCCTTCCACAAGAACTGGAGCAAGGTCCTACAACTCCTTTATCAGGAGGAGTGGCTCTTGCCCCAAGTCTGCCATAGAGCGGGTATCTTTACGATACTGAACGCTGCCGCCTGGGCCGTGGGTTCTTGTCCTGGTATAACTGTTTTCCCTTAAATCATGCTCTGCACTGTGTCTGCTCCAGGCATTCCTCTGATGATAAGCTGCTTATTCCTTAATTCATGCTCTGTACTGTGTCCACTCTAAGCATTCCTCCGATTATGAACTAAGGTATAATTATAGGTACATATGTAGGGAAATATTCTTTAGGCACTCATACTATCAACTATTATATGATTATATAGAGAGGATTATATAAAGGGATTCTTCAAGCCCTAATTCTATAAACTAATATATGATTATGTAAAGGATTATATAAAAGGAAATAGCTGAGTAGTAACACAATAAAGTGAGATATTCCTCAAGCCCTAACTGTGCCAGGGCTCTGCTTAGCTTTCATTCCTCGGTGCCTATATGGGGGGGCTACCTACGCACCACATCGGCTCACTTTTGTATTTTTAGTAGAGACGGGGTTTCGCCATGTTGGCCAGGCTGGTCTTGAACTCCTGGGCTCAAGCAGTCTGCCTGCCTCAGCCTCCGAAGTGCTGAGATTACAGCTGAGATTACAGGCATGAGCCACCTTGCCCGGCCTTGTCATATATTTTATTGGTAGGAATAATTTGAAGCCTACGAAGGTATTTTTCACTCTTTTTTCACTGAGGATTTAGCTTTTGCCATGTATTGGGGGTACCAACAGTCTGGAGTCATTTTGTCGATTTCAGGGATTGAGATGATTTTAAGCGACGCTGAAGTCACCCTTGCTCTGATGTTACTGTCCTTAGGACCCCAGAGTGACGATTACATTTGCATATTCATAAATTCCTTCACTCACCCACCCACGTTCATATTTGTAAATTTATATTTACAAATGTAGGCAGCCATTGACAAATGAATGTGCAGAGAAATGTGCACAAATGAATATGTCTATGTGATCATCTCTCCTGTGTACCCATTTATCTGCCACAACAATTAGGTGTACGCTGACCTAGGAACTGCTGAACTCATCCGCTCATTATTAACTCAGCCATGGGACCAGCTGACAGAAGGCCTGTGCTGGGTGCTGTTCCAGGTGCTTGGGGCACATCCTTGAGCAAAACAAAGTCCCTTCTGTCACAATTCATAGTGCAGTGGAGACACCAGGCTACCAGGGCGGGCAGGGCTGGGCTGGAATTTTAAGAAAGGTGGCCAAAGTGGGCTTTGCTGAGGTGACGTCCAAGGGAAAACTCGGCGGTGAGGGAATGACAGCTGTGAACGTCTGAGGGGCTTCCAGACAGGAGGACTAGCCAGTGTAAGACCCCGAGGGGGACAGGAAGGAGCCCCTGTGGCTGCAGGGGAATGAGGCTCAGAAGCTGGAGGATTTGGGGGCTGACGGAGGAAAAGACAGGGCCAGGAGAGGGCAGTGGCACGCAGTGAGCTGTACTCTGGCGGCTCTTAGGTTTTCACGGAGGCTTGGCACCTAGGCGAAGCCGCTCGGCAGGGGGCAGCCCCGCCTGAAGCCTTCTGTAGCCCCAGGGTTTGTCTTACCCGCAGATGTTGGGTTCAGTTTTGCAGCATATGCAAAGCAAGCGGTGTCTAAACGTCTAGAAATATGCATATTTGCGCTCTGTTTAAAGCAAATGTCTGTGTAACATTTTGATTTTGGCCCTGGTGGGCTTTGAAATTCTGGTCCTAGCTGCTGTGAAGCAGTCAGCACAGGGCTGGTCCTCAGGCTGTCACTGGCCTGTGGACCCATCAGGTGGCCGCGGAGGTGAGTTTACCGGCGCCTGTATGCCCCTGGCCTCCCGCGGACCTGCAGGCCACTACCCAGCCCCTTCTGTCCGTCTCTGCCCCTGCATCTGTAGGTGAGCACTTGGGTTGGCACCTGTCAGCCAGGATGGCGGTCACCTGAGGCCACGCTGCGCGCTGTGCCACTGCTTCTCTCCCTCTGGTCTCCTCTGCCCCGTGCCTCCCCGCATCTGCGAGTTCTTCCCATTCTGCTCTTCCATCTCCCTGTCTGCATGTGTCTGTGGCCAGTCTCCCTGGAAGAGCTGCGGGGAACTCATCTTTCCACCTCTTTCCCCTCAGCCTGTCTTCCTCCCTCCGCCTCACGAACGCCTCGCTCTGTGGGAACGCCGCTGCTCACCCCGATGCAGTGCCGCTGCCTGCTCCGTGGCCCGTATCTGTCACCTCTGTCTGGCCCCACCGCCAAGCCTGCCCACACCTTCCTGGTCTGTTCTTGGCTGTGGCGCCCACCTTCAGCCACCTGCTCTCCTTCTCCCAGGCCTCTGCTCTCCAGCCGACAGCTCCTTGGGCCCCAACTGTTTCCCAGGCCTAATTCTGAGTACAAGAGTCTCCCTGTACCACCTGGCCCTTCTCAGCCACTGCCTGGCCCCCTTCCGCCACCATCCAGTTATTAGGGAACCAGCCACACTGGACAGCAGGCCCTGGTCAGCCCTGCCTTCCCAGAGCAGGCGTGGGGCAAACAGCGTTCACACACAGCCACCTATGAACAAACAGCTTCCTGGGCAAGGGTGAGGCCGGGACTGGTCCGCCACCAGGCGCATGTGGGTCTGCTCTGAGCTCCTGCTCTTACTATTCACTGCAACTCCTCTGAGCCTCACCCCGGCTCCACAGACAAGGAGGGCCGGGCACAGGAAGTCAGGGCCTCGCCCCGGGCGGCTGGGCTTGGAGCCCAGCTCTCTGCACCCACTTCTTGCTCCTGGAGTGCTGGGGACTCCAGAGGGTGAGAAGCAGCGGCAGCCCCAGGGGCTGTGTCATGCAGGCAGAGATCTGCAGGGGACCACAGAGGGAGCCGCGCTGCGCATGTCCTGCGGGCCAGCTGCCTGCCCGGGAAGCAGCAGTGGCAGCCGAGGCCGCAGGCGTGTGCTTGAGTCCAGTAGAGGCAGGAAGCCTGGGCCGGGTCCTTGGGGGCCGTGAGGGGGAAGGCAGCCCTTGGAGGCCCAGCTGCAGGAGCAGGTTCCTGCTTGGACTTGGTCAGGGAGCCCAGGAGAATTCCCGGTGGCCTGGGCTTTGGGGATAGCTGCACGCAAAGGGCCTACCACGCACCAGCTGTGAGCACGGAGGCCTTTCTGCACAATGGCGCCCTTTCTCCCAAATGGAAGAGCAACAGCTCCTCTCCAGGCTGAGACTTGGAACGCAGGCACCCTGAGTGCCCGACAAATGTCATCTGTCATAGGTGGCCTCGCTGGATGCGGTGGTGAGCGTGCTGCATTCGTGGGACCTGAGCCTCACAGAGGCCATGCTGCAGAACATGGAGGCAGAGCAGCAGCGCCGGGCCCAGGAGGCCCAGCGGCACAAGGAGGCCGAGGCTGAGTGGTGTGGCGGGCAGGAGGGGTGTGGGAGGTGCTGGCGGAGAGCACTGGCGGGGAGCATGGATGGGGGATGCTGGTGGGAACCTCTGCCCCAGCTCGTTCCCGTTCCCTAGCATGACACTCAAGGTCCAACAGCTGGCCAGGGAGCAGCAACAGTGTCACAAGGAGGTGAGTGTGACCTCAGGGAGGAGCCAGGTGGGTGGGGCGGTGGGGGAGCCGGGTGGACGGGCACCCAGGGGAAGAGCTAGGAGAGGAAGTGACCTGGTCAGAAGGCACTGGCCGGCCTCACCAGGGCCAGCCTTGCCAGGGCCTGCCCATATGCCCACCCAGCTGCAGCAGGCCTACTGCGAGCTGAGCCGGAGGATCTCGGAGCACGACCAGTGTGAGTGGAGGCGCATGGACAAGATGGAGCTGACACTGCAGGTGGGGGCCGCAGCGGACTTGCTGTGCCTCAACAGCCCTCCTTGCTCCACACCAGCCCAGGGCTCCTCCCTCCCAGGCCCAGGATTTTTCCCTCTCAAACATGAGGAGTCACCAGCCAACGACAGCCTCCTTGGGGTGGGGTGGGGAGGAGGCCAGGCAGGAGCCTTCTCCAGCCAGAGCGTGGGACAGGACAAGCGAGGGTCAGCGTGGCCCCCTCCTCCAGGCCATCAAGGATGCAGAGGACCAGGTGGACAGGCTGCAGCAGGAGGCCCGGAAGGCTGAGGAGGCGCTGGCTCTGGCCAGGCTGGTGCTGCGGGAACAGACGCAGGACGGTGGGCCTGGCATGGGGCGCCCGCTGGGGCCTGGGAGGCACAGCACAGGGTGGGGTCCGGCGTTGGGCTTGCCTGTCAGCTGCACTCTGCCACCCCGCCAGGGGAAGAAGAGGCGCAGGGGCTGAAGTGCCAGGTCACGGAGCTGCACGACGTGCTGATGAAGGACGTGGGCAACCGCATCCAAGCGGACGGCCGGTCAGTGCTCCAGGCCGGACATGGGCGAGCTGGGGTTGGACAGACAGCACTGACCTCGTGCTGTCCCCAGGTGGCCTCTCGTCATTGACCCTTCAGGCCAGGCAGCTACCTTCCTGCGCTACCAGGACACCAATTACGTGGACACAGTAAACCCAGAGCACCTGAGGCCGGAGAGGATGCGACTGGCTCTTCTGGGGGCTCTGCGGTGAGGCAGGCAGGGCGTCAGGTACACCCACCCCACCCCCAGCCCCACCCCGCCTCATCAGCCTCCTGGGGCAGGTACGGGAAGCCGCTGGTGTTCGACCTGCACGAGGTGGACCTGTTCCCAGCCGTGCAGCGGCAGCTGGAGGCGGTGCAGCCCGGCCTGGCCCAGGCGCTGCTGAGCCGTGGCCTGCTGGAGCAGGAGAGGTACCTGTCGCTGCTGCGGCCCACGGACGGGCCTGAGTACAGCCCCACGCAGTTCCAGGAGGCGCGCCTGGAGCACTTCCGCCTCTTTTTCGTCACCAAGGCCCAGTGGCCACCAGCTGAGCAGCTGCAGGTGCTGCTCCCGGTGCGAGTGCAGCTCCCGGGCACAGGCCTCTAGCGCTGGCTCCAACCCCAATAAAGTGTGTGCCCGGGGGCGTGGTGCCCTCTGTGCTGTGTGTGTGAGGGGCAGGGGCGGCGTGTGCAGTCCTGAGCCCCAAATGACCAACCCCGACTGCGGACACAGGTTTGCAGGCACCTGGGGGAGGCCCTGCTGGGGACTGGCAGCTGTGCAGCCTGTGTGCGGTGAGGGCGGGTGAGGGTGCAGCACTTGGAGCTCGGCCTGGCCTCGGAGGGCAGGAGGCGTCTGTGCCAGCGGGTGGGGGGTGGACAGACAGATGGGAGGTAAAATGTAGTCAACTTTATTCTCCTTAAACCACAAAATAGAGTCTTTGGTTGTACAAACATCACTAGTTACAGTCTCGCCGAGGTCTCGGCTGGGGTGGGGCAGTTAGTCAGAGGCCGGAACTCCTGTGGGGTCTCTTTAAAATGCTAAAACCCAGGTTAAAAGACTCAGGGCAAGGGTGGTGCTGGAGCTGGCAGGGCCCCCACCCCAAGTCTGGGGGAGGCACCCGCTCCTCTAGGAGGGCACAGGGCCCAGGCCACGGCGCCCAGGCCTTACGGGGCGGCGGCTGCTGCACAGCGCCACATCTTCGGGGCCCACAGCGCCGGGTGAGGGCCGGCCCAGAAGCACCAGGGCCACTTCTCCATCTTCCTCCTGTGGGCCTGGGGGGGGCAGGGACGGGGGGCAGTGAGCTGAGGGCAGCTGGGCTCCGGGGAGCTCACCCTGCACCCAGCCCCAACTCACCAGGGCTGGGAGATGGTTCCAGGGATCTCAACTCCTCAGCAAAGTCCGGCGACTGTGATGGGGAGAGTGTTGGTCAGGCCGGCGCCAGTCCTGCCCCAAACCACCCACGTGGACAGGTGGGCTCCCAGCCCTGAGGCCCACACAGCCCAGCTGAAGGAGGGAGGGGATGGAGAGGCGGGGTGAGGGCAGAGCGTGGGCAGAGCGAGGGGAGGCCCTGCGGGAGCGGACAGAGGCGGTGGCAGGCGCAGGCGGGGTGGCAGGCATGCAGAGGCCTGGCGGCCGGGTACCTGGATGTCATAGACCGGCCTGGAAGAAGGCAGGGCTGCAAAGGCCCTGTAGTCAAACTTCTTTCCAGACAAGGGCTTGAAAGGACAGCGTGAGGGGAGAGGCAGAGAGTGAGAGGAAAGGGGTGAGGGCCACAGGGGTGGGGGCAGGCCAGACCCCCCCATGTCTCGGGGGTGAAGGGCGGGCACAGCCACCGGCTCCTCACCAGGCGTCCCGGGGAGGTGCTGGTCTGGGGGCCGAGGTCTGGGGGGACAAGAAGCAGGTGTTGGAAGCGGCCCATGCGGCAGGCTGACCCCCCAACCTCCCAGACCCACGGACCTTCCACAGGGGTGGGTGATGGGGTGGGCGCGGGGGAAGGGGCCTCGGCCAGACGCTCCAGGGGCCCCCGAGTGCCCCGGCCCTCCTGGGACCTGCTGAGGACCATCTGTGCGCGGAGAGCGTCCTGCTCTAGCGACTTCATCCTGCGGAGACCAGCAAGGCTGGGTGAGCCAGGCAGGAGCCGGGGCAGGCGTCGGGGCAGGGTGGGGACCCCCAACCAGGGGCCTACCTGGCCGCCCTCCACAGCGCACGCTTCTCGGCCTCCAGGGCCCGGCGCTCAGCAGGGGACAGGGCGCGCTCAGGTGCCGGCAGCTCCGGACTCTGCACTCGAAGCCGTTCCTGGTGGCGCCGCTCAGCTTTGGCTGTCCGCACAGGGGCGCCACCTCCCGGGGGTGGGGGGGACACTGGGCTCTGCCTAAGGAAGGGACAGGATGTGCTGTGGGGAGGGTGTGTGGGGCGAGAGCGGGGTGTCTGGTGCGTGGGCGCTCACCCTGCAGTGGGGCTTGGGCCGGCCCACGGTGGCTCTTGATCCTCCTGCTCCTCCTCGCCCAGGGCCTCTCCATCCAGGGCCAGCCTCGCTCCGGCCCCGGCCTCCGCCACCTCGCGCATCTGTGCTCGCTTCTGCTGCAGTTTCCGGGCTGCCAGAGAGCCAGGCGGGTCAAGCTGGGCCAGCCTCCACCCAGTCCCCACCCCACTCTGTGCCCCTCACCTTCTTCCTCCTGCATCTTCCGCAGGTCATCAGCACCCACCAGGGACACGCGCTTAGGGGGGCCCTCAGCCTGGGGCACGCGCACCTCCAGCTCAAAGTACTTCTGCCGTTCCCGGAAGGACAGCTGCTCCGGGGAGGCCGCAGGCGTCGGGGGCTGGGGGGAGCGGGCCCTGAGGTTTGGCTGGCATTCCTCTGGGGCACTGGGGCCCCGGGGCACCCACCACACCCACACGAAGTAGGGAGGGGTGCTACCCCCACACACCTGGGCAGGGGCGTCCTCAGGAGGGTGTGGAGTGGGCACAGCTGCGAAGGCTCTGTAGGCCTGCTTCACGTTGGCAGGCAGCTCATCCGGGGAGGGAGGGGAGGGTGGCTGGGGGGGTGGGGCTCTCGTGAGCTACGCTGGGCAGCTGTCGGGGCTGCAGCTGCACCCAACCCAACACCCGCTGTCCCCACTGCCTGCCTTTGATCCCACCCACCATCCTGCCAGGGAAGGAGGCTCTGCACCCCACCCATGGGACAGAGCACTCACGGAGCGGGGACCACCTCTGCCCCTGGGGGCTGGGGAGCCCCAGGCCTGAGCCAATGGCTGGATCACCCCTGGTTTTGTCTGGAAAAGGCAGGTGGGGGCAGCAGGGGCAGAAGAGAGCAGGATCAAGGATTCAAGGCAAAGGATGGGGTGGGGAAACGGGGAGAGAGACAGAGAGAGACGCCTGGGTGGCGCTGACATATTGCCAGTGAGGTGCTGAGCTGTGGCTGGGTCTCACAGGTGCTGCCACCCCAACCCCCACGTGGTAGTGTGTTGGGGGTGGTGCCAATAGTGGGGGGCAAGGACTCCCTGACAAGAGGCAGGCAGGGGCAAGGCCGGCAGACCCTGGGAGGCTGGGCCCAAGACAACGACCGGGGTCTCCGGAGCTTGAGCTCCTCCAGAACAGCAAGCCCGGGCCCCCAGCCCATCGCCAGGCAGCTCCTCCAGGAAAGTGTTCCTGGCTGCCCTCGCACAGCAGGCCCCGTAGTAGCAGAGGGAAGCCCGGAATCAACCGCACGCCACCCCCTCTCCCTGGAGGAGGGGGCCCTGCACATTGGCCATCTGCCCTGCCCTCCACCTGCCGTGGGGCGCGCCTGTTAACTCGGGACACTCACCTGCTGGCCACTAGGGGAGCGGGGGCCTTCGGCCATCTTCCCTCCAGCTGCTCCAGACGGTACCTGGAGGATCAGGCAGTGGGTGGGGTGAGGCCTGGCAGGGCTGTGGCCCCTGAGCAGGAGGGACTGGGGGCCCTGGCGCTTGCCTGGAGGGCACAGAAGCTCTTCAGCTCCCCAAACAGACTATAGCCCAGGGCCACCCAGGTACTCGGTCAGCATGAAGAGGCTGTCCCCGACCCCCACGGTGCAGGGGCCTGGGATGGGCAGCTGGTGTCTCCGTGGCTGTGTGCTGGCTGGAGCTTTGCAGGGGAGATGGGAGCAGACAGCACAGTTGCAGAAGAGGGAAGGGAGGGCTCAGGGGAGGGGCCGGCGGGGAGCCCCCACTTGCGGTGTGCAGCCCTCAGGGCTCGAGCGGGGCCCTGACCGCTGCCCCCACAGCTGTGCTCTTGTTCATGAGGATGAAGGGTCTCCTGGGAGCCTCCCTCTCAGCGCTGCCCATGGCTGAGTCGGTACCCAAGAGCCCCTACATGCGCTGCCTCAGCCCCTCACCACCACTCTACCACCCCTGCAGAGGCCTGGCAGAGCCTGCCCCCCCAGTCACTCACGTTCCTTCTGGGCCTCCCAGCAAAGGGTGGCGGGACACACCCTCTGGGAGGGTTATTTGTGTCTCTCAGGAGGGACAGGCCTGCACATCCTCCCACCCGTCCCCAGCGACTGCCCCTCCAGCTGCTCCAGCCCATCCTTCCCTCAGTGACGTGTGCCTGCCCAATCCCCCAGGAGCCTCCACCTCCAGCCTGCACCCTCAGGCTGGGCAGTCCCCCAACAGCAGGCGAAGCTCACACACCACCACATCGGCCTGCTCGGTGAGTACAAGAGCCTCGAACTGTGTCACCCATCCGAAGCTCAGGGTGGGGGTGGGGCAGCACGGCTGGGGTCAAGAATGAGGGTTGACAAGCACGTGGCAGGCTGGGGGCCACGCTCCGGCTGGGGTAGCCTGCAGGTCAGATGCGGCCTCCTCCCACCCTGGCCCCCCCGCCACCCAAGGTTCCCTCCATGAAGGCCCTGGCGTTCATCTTGGGGTAGCTGATGAGCAGAACAGGACAAAGGTGGGGGCACCGCACTCTGGGCACTGACCCTCTGCACGCTGCCAGCACTGGGCACGGCGGCCAGGGCACGGTAGTCCAGCTTCAGGGGCTCCAGACCCCGACCCTGGGAGCAGAGTGGACACAGCACTAGCAAGGGCAGCTCCGTGGCCGCCCCCAGCCATCGGGGGAAGGGGGACAGCACAGGCACAGGAGGGGGTCCCGGGGGTCACTATCTAATACCCCATGGGCAATATGTACCCCGATCCAGTGCCCTGATGGGAAGGGCGGGGTGACCCCACTCACTGCGGCTTCTGTGGCCTCGGACCAGTGCAGGGTCTGTCCAGGCAGCTCCTTCTCCTGTGAGCAAAGCGGACCCATCAGGTGCTGCCGGCCTCAGGTTCCCTGGCCCTGGGGCTGCCGGCTGCAGGCGCCTCTGACCTTGCCTGGGCCCTCAGGACTCAGCTCCGGGTCGATGGAAGAGATGCTCTCCAGGCTGTTCCGGTGGCCGATGCCTGCCGCAAAGGGGTTGGCAATGACACCTGGGGACACCTGGGAAAAGGGGTGTGGGCTGAGGGGAAACTGCGGCCCCAGCCCAGAACAGCCAGCAAAGGTGAAGAAAGGAGCCGCGTGGGGCCGACTGCATGGCGGGGGCGGCCTCAGAGGGCACTCTGCTGGGCCCTCCAGTGCCCGGCAGGCCTGTCCCCGGCCCGGCCCATCCCCTCACAGCTCACAAGGCTGCTGTGGACATGGTCATGTCTGCGCTAAGTGAGACAAAGTGGCGTGATGCCTGCCACTTTGTCTGGGCAGGGCAAGGCAGGCGACCGTGTAAAGTCACCCTCAGGAAGAACTGACAGCCTCCAAAACGGGGCAAGGAGGGGTGAGCAGCGGGCGCTGAACCTGCCAGCACAGAGCGGCCCCTCGGGCGGACAGGCTGGCTCCGGACCCTGGCGTGAGTGCTGAGTAGGGGTTCTTAAACAAAGGACACCATGCAGGAGGTCCGGCCAGCTCTGCACTTCCCAGACCTAAATCATCTTGTCCCACACCAGTGGCTGGCACGGCAGAGGGGGCCGGGGAGACAGGGCCAGGACAGGCAGGGGCTTCTGGCTGGGCACAAGCTGTACTTGGATCCTGAGCCCAGGGTAAATAAACACAGGCAGACAGAACCATGGGAAGAGCTCACTTCCAAGCCCCCGGGGGTCAGTGGGACTGGCTCTAGCCTCCACCACCAGCGGCCAGAGGCGGCACAGTGGAGAGAGGCATCACTCCTGGCCCTCTTCACAGACGGGGTCCCTGTGAAATCACAGTGCTCTCAGTGTGGCCTGAAGGACAAACACAGCCCCGTGCTGTTGCTTAAAAACATAACCGAAATGGGAAGTAAGGGGTGGGCAGAGAAGCCAGGCAAACACACAGGAGGCACAGAGAGCGGCCGCTCAGACCAGTGGGGACGGGACGTGAGACAGGCAGAGGGACGCTGTCACCACAGAGAACAACGGTACAATCATCATCAACTCTAAGCGCTCGACAAGCAAGCAGCTAAACACAGAAAGCAAAGATCACTGGAAACACCAGAGCATCATGAAAGCAGTCCGACAGCCAGCCTCACCTACACCTGTTTCAGATTCTCACAGACCCAGGAGGACAAACAAGGTGCCTCTCTTCTCAATTTCCGAAGTAAGTCAGAGCCCCTGGGCAGGTCCAAGAGAGGCAGGGGCCTGGCAGAGTGGGAAGCAAGGTCGCAGGCAGCCCAGCCTCTCACGACAGAGAGCTGCTCAGACACAGAAAAGGCCACTGAGCTCATGCTCTACCGTTCTAGGAATAACTGTGGAAAAGACTAGGATGGTCCCTAGCTCTGGCCTTGGAGAGGTCCTGAGATGCTCCCCTGAGAGCACTCTCCACATCTAGTGCCGAGACCAGTTTCCACGGATCACCCTCCACTAAAAGGAACCACCGCTCCTGAGAGAAATGGCTGACTCCAGGGCCAGGCAGGGCAAGGAGAGGAGCCCAGCACTTCCTGGACGCGGAAGGTGAGGTGCTCAGAGAGGGGAGGTTGTGTCAGAATAAGTCAGGCCCTCAAGCACCTTCATGGGCCAAGGCTGGGACAATTTGAGCATCAAAATTTTGACGGGGCCGGGTATGGCAGCTCACGCCTGTAATCCCAGCACTTTGGGAGGCTGAGGCAGGCAGATCATGAGGATGAGTTCAAGACCAGCCTGGCCAACATGGTAAAACCCTGTCTCTACTAAAAATATAAAAATTAGCCAGGCATGGTGGCAGGCGCCTGTAATTCCAGCTACTTGGGAGGCTGAGGCAGGAGAACTGCTTGAACCTGGGAGGTGGAGGTTGCAGTGAGCAGAAACTGCACCACTGCACTCCAGCCTGGTGACAGAGCGAGACTCTGTCTCAAAAAAAAAAAAAAAAAATTAATTAAAAAAAATAACGATGGTAACAAGCTGTCAGCCATGAAATAAAATGGAAATTCCCTTGTTAATGAAACGGACTCCTTGTGAGCCCACATGAACAGGCAAGCAGGTGACATAACTGGGAGAAGGGAAGGTTCTAGGGCAGGAAGCCACCTGAGGAGCATGGGGTGGTGGGTAGGGCACTGTCGCCAACCACCTCAGGCCCGCGCGGGGACCGTCGAGGTGCTGAGGCACCCGGGTGAAGCTGGGTGAGAAGCAGCATGTCATGTGCTCTCAAAGCACCTCTTACAACCACTTGATTTCCAGGGGCAGGAGGAACTGCAGGGGAAACCTGGCTGACCCCGCGGTTCAGAGCATCAGCTGCGGGCCCAGTGAGCGGCGTGGAGACGCGTGGCTTCTCGGCCGCCAAGATGCACATGCTGAAGCCTGTGAGGACATCAGACCCAGCATGGGGACAGTCACAGCAGGGAGGGCCTGTGCCCACCAGAAGCATCAAGGTCTGAGGAATCAGCGAAGACAGAGGCAGGCTCCGATGGAAGGAGACTAGAGGGGTGCAGCGGCCAAACCCCACAGGGACCGGACCGTGCCCTTCCTCGACGGAGCACGTCCCCGGCACGATGGCTGGGCCAGGAACAGGGCTGCGTGTCACACGTTCTTTGTCCTGTGTTTGCAACTTTTCTCCAAGTATAAAATTCACTTATGTATGTGCTTATATTTTTCAAAAAGAAACAAAAGGTAGAATAAACCGAAATTAATAAAGCTGGTAGCCTCAGAGCAGAGAGATGGATGCCGGACTTCTGAAGTTAATCTATGATTTCGACTTTGGAACCACGTGATGATTTACACAATTAAGAAACAGACTTTCTGGTGGCAGATGGCTGTAATCCCAGCTACTTGGGAGGCTCAGGCAGAAGAATCGCTTGAACCCGGGAGGAGGAGGTTGCAGTGAGCTAACACCATGCCACTCCAACCTGGGCAACAGAGTGAGACTGTCTCAAGAAAAAAAAAAAGACACAGATTTTTAAAAAGCTCACCCTAAAAGCTAAAACGAGTCAGCCCAACTGTGTATCAAGTTGGCGGCAAAACCACAGAAGGCTCTCAAGTGGCTGAGAGCACAGGAGGCTGCCAACTGCTCATCCCAGCGGGTGAGCCCTCAGGAAGATGGCCTCCCAGAACTCAGCACCCCACGGTCCTGCTCTCAGTCGTACCACTGGGGTCGCTGTTTTTTGTTTAGGGTCTTACTGTCTTGCCCAGGCTGGACTCAAACACCTGGGTTCAAGCGACCCTCCTGTTTCAGCCGCCTCAGTAGCTGGGACTACAGGTGCGTGCCACCATACTCAGCTAATTTTGAAATTAAGAAATTGAAGATTTTATGAGAAAAAGAGAAATCTAACATCACAAAAGTTAGTAAAAAACCCTATAATCTTAAATGAGCTAAATATAACAGTACAAACTCATGATTTTTCTCTTTCATGGATATAAAAATCTCCACCTCTCAGCCTCCATCTGCTGCAGAGGCCATGGAGCGGCAGAGGCTGAGCCAGAGTCCTGAGCCCGCCTGGCCCACGGCTAGGAGCTCTACACTCGGCTCCCACCGAGAGGGGCCAGGTTCCACACAACCGTGGTGGAATCCAGGGCTGGGGCAGGAAGTACAAAGAATGTCCTGTCAAAGCAGCTGGGGAATATTCCCTGCCTGATCAGGGGACATCAAGGGAACACTGTGTTGAAACCCATCAGGAAAACAAAGATTCACGAGTTCATGAAAACCCTAAAAACAGAAAGACACGTCAGGAACCACCTTTGGAAGCTTCTAGGGCCCCAGCTTCAGATAACAATTCTTACAGGTTATAAACAGAAACAGCCCCGCACCCCTTTAAAAAACGTCATCATGAGAGCCTATAGCAAACATCACAGTAGATGAATGTCCCCTAAACCTGAGCACAAGGCAAGCACCACCCCTAAGGGGCCAGAAGCTCTGAAGGAGGGGAGATGGGAGAGGCCTGGGTGGGAAGGGCGGCAGAATTACTAGGACAGCAAGAGCAACCAGAGAATGCGCTAGAGAAAAACTCGCCGTAAAGATAACCCCAAGGCCGGGCACGGGGCTCACGCCTGGAAACCCAGCACTTTGGGAGGTCAAGGCAGACAGATCACTTGAGCCTGGGAGTTCAAGACCAGCCTGGGCAACACAGCAAAACCCCTTCTCTACAGAAAACTTTAAAAAAATCTTTGAGCCAGGGGTGGTGGTGTGTGGCTGTAGTCCCAGCTACCGGGAGGCTGGGGTGGGGGGAGGATGGCTCGAGCCCAGCAGGCTGAGCCTGCAGTGAGCAGCAATCATGCCACGACTCCAGCCTGGGTGACAGAGCGAGACCCTTCCTCAAAATACATACACATACGCAGATAACACATACGAGTCTGTGAAAACCCAGAATTCCAGTCGGCTTCTGTGCGGAACTTGGCAGGTTCACTTGTAAACACGTGACAGACAAATTTCTCAAGACAAGAAGGAAGAGTGGGTAGCTTCGACCATTAGGGTTAGGTATGAAACCTGCTGTAAAGTGAGGCATTTAAACGTGTGGGGCTGGCTCAGAAGTAGCTGGCAATTCACTGGAACCAAGTCCAGAAACAGACCCTGGAGCACACAGGAACTGAACACACGACAAAACCACATGTCCCCCAAATCAGTGGGGAAGCAGCAGGGCTGGGCGTGGGGGCGCACGCCTGTGGTCTCAGTGACTCTGGAGGATGGCTTGAGTGTGGGAGGTGGAGGCTGCAGTGAGCTGTGATCTGCCAACACACTCCAGCCTAGGCGACTAGGAGGCCTCATCACAAGTCCAGGTGAACCATGGAGCTATGATTTTTAAATTGCCAGAAATACTAGAAGAAAACAGGACAATGTTTATCTTGCAGTAGGGAAGATGTTCCAAAAGAAAAAAACCAGAATCCCGAAGTCATAAAGAAATCAGAAGACTTAAACATTTTCATTTTTGTAACTCAAAAGATCCTATTTTTTCAAGGAAAAAATGAGCAAGAGCTGGAGGATATCACACCTGTACCCACCGAACAAAGACGAGCAACAAGCCCTGCTGGACAGAAGCCAGGCAGACAGTGGAGGGCAAGGACAGGGCTGGGGCGGATGGCGAGCCCCCAGGAAGACGGTGGACTTGGGAGAGCGGCGGTGGTGGATCACAGCTCTCAGCCCCGCGCTCTGGGGCCCTGGCCTGCCAGACGCAGCAGAAACGGTCTCTGCCCTCAACATCAGGGAGGGTGTGGAGGTAGCTCTGTGGTAAGCTGCCAGCCAGAGTGTGATGTCTGAGACCTGCCCCGATCCCTTCCTGCGAGGCCATCCCTCCTGTACCCATGTGTCATGGCAGACTCACGGGGGACCCGACCAGATGCAAGGACAACCTGTGGCCAACAGCAGTGCTGCACGCAGACGGACAGACGGACGCACGCGGGCCGCACGCAGACAGACGGACAGACGGGCACACGCCGGCCGCACGCAGACAGACAGACAGACGGGCGCACACCGGCTGCAGACACGGCACCAGCCCCGCCTTCTACACATCTAGCCCTTCCTGGAGAAGGCTCTCTAATAAAAAATAAGTATATGAGTAAATCTGTCAAATATTATTCAAAATGTATTTAAACATACACTTAAAATAAGTAAATAAAAGTCAAGGCTCTGAGAACCAGGTGGTCCACGGCTTGAGCCCTCAGGGAAATCTTTCCCTAGAAACCACCAGGACTCCCTCGAGGACAGCAGAGGAGGTGGGTGAGGCTGGCTCGCCAGCCCCAAGCCCAACATCCAGCTGTGGACCAAAAAATATGAACGGGATGCAATTTCCACCCAGGGCGGGGTGGGGGGGGCGCCTACGGTGAAAAAAGATGAATGCAGACCAACTTCCCACAGTGTTGGGTGGCACTGGCCATGGGTCAGGACACATTCTACGGCTGCCAGCCTGGCAGAAAACCACCATCCCAGAGATCCCTTGCAAGAGAGAACCGACGCGAGGCCTCCCCATCCCAGAGGCTGTTACGGAGAGGAAGCCGTGCATGCCAAAGGGAGCATGACACAGCCGCCTGGGCCCTGGGGACCTGTGTGACCAGCGGGCACATGCTCTAGGAGCGGGGGGCTGCTTCAGACGAAGACACATGCCCCTGCCCAGGCACCCCCCAGCTTCAGCCATGGGTGTGGGCCCTCCCATGACCCACCCTCTTGCGGCCCTGCACCCCACTCCAGGTGAGAACTCGGTCTGCACACGCTGGCTGTGCCCTTGGAAGCCATCTCGGCCTGCTGGGGGACCCCCAGGACGGCATGAGGGAGAAGACGGAAGGGGGATGAGAGTGCCCTGCGCTTGTCCAGGGTCCAGGCCATGCTGGGAGGGAGACTCCTAGGGCCCCACCTTGCACCCCAACTCCCGGTCAGGGCTTTTGCTCTGCAGTCCAGAAATAAAAGACCAGCCGTTGGGTAGAAGATCTTGGGGAAGGAGCTCTCTCCTGAGAGGTCATCAGAGGGGGTGCCCTGAAGTCAGGCATGGCCCAGGGACAGGCTGGGAGGAACAGGGTGCCACTGGGCACAGGAGCGGGGACTCTCAGAGTCCCGAGGAGTCTGCCTGGCTGGTGGGCCATGGCAGGGCTCCAAGCCATCCCGTCACAGCCTCGTGGGCTCTGCACGAGTCGCCGGTGGCTCAACAACTTCTTTCAAGACCAAATCATGCAGTGTGCCCCAGACACACCCCCCTATCTGTTCATGTGTCTTGTCCTACCTGGGCCAGGCCTCTGGACAGCTCGATGGCTACAGCTCAGCAGAAAGGGAAGGTGGGCGTCCCCCCCAACAGCTCCCCACCCCTCACAGCTGATGCAGAGCACCTCCCAGACCCAGAGGCACAGAGGACCCGTCGCCCGCCCTGAGAGGCGTCTGTGGCTCAGGACATCTCAGGATGGGCCAGAGGGAAGCCTGGTTCCTGGGGTGGGGGCGCTAACCTCCAGGGCTGCAGTGGTGCTGGCATCGAAGCCGTCACACACCAGCACGGTGAGGGTGTCGCCCACGCTGCGTAGCAGCTGCACCGCCTCGCTGTGCGTCAGGCCCAGAAGGCTCTGCTGGTTCACCTCCAACAGCCGCAAACCCACATGTAGCCGGCCATCACGCCCAGCTGCCCCCATGGGGCTCACCTGTGGAGAGACGTGGTATGGGAGGAACATGGTTGGGGGTGGGGAGTAAGGCCTGGGGTGGGCTGCGGGGCGCTCACCTTGGAGATAAAGATGCCCTCGTCTGTGGGGTCACGGGGGTTGCCAGCGTGGCCCCTGGCACCCCCTCGGATGCTGATGCCCAGCCTCTCCCCGGGCGCCTTCTGGATGCATAGCTCCCGCAGGCCTGGGGGAGCTGGGTCCCTCCGCACCAGCAGGCACAGCTCCAGGCAGGGCCGGAGCAGGGCGCTGACGGCTTCTTGGTGCGTGGCCTCCCGCACATCTTGCCCGTTCACTGCCAGGATTCGGTCCCCAACCCGCAGGCCACTGCGAGCCGCTAGGCCCCGCGGGAGCACCTGTCAGGGAGGAGGGTGACATCTGGTGGACAAGGCCGCACCAACTTGAGCTGGTACCTGGGATGGGTGCGCCTTGCTCAGAGCTGTCTGGCGGGGCTGCCCTACCTTGGAGATGAACACACCAGGCTCCTGGACACCAAACGGGTGGCTAGAGTGATCAGAGCCTCCAACGATGCTAAGCCCCAGAGGGCCCCCAGCTCTCGGCAGACGGATCTCCTGGGGACACGGACAAGGGACAGGTCTCGGTCACGACAGGGAAGGGGTGTGGGAATGCTCCCGAGTCCATCCAGGTCCTTGTAGATGGTGGGCGGGGACTGCCCTAACGTGCCCATGAGGGTTCCTGTGCCACCGTTTGGCTGCCCAAGCAGGTATGCAGCGTGGGGCCAACACCCTTGCTGACTGTGACCATGTGGCTGGCCAGAAGGCTGCTGACGGAACCAAACTGAGGAGCTTGGCTGTGGGGCAGAGCCCCAGTCTCAAGGGGCCACAGGGCAAAGGGCGAGCAGGCCAACTTCCCACCCAGAGTGGCTGCAGGGTCACAAAAGGGCAGATCCTGGGAGGGCCAGCACCCACAGCTGAAGCTGGGCAGGCGCCTGGGTGGGCGTGTGTCTCACCTCCACTGGGTATGGCCCTTCCAAGGTGGTAGCTAGCAGGCTGGGGGCCAGTCTCGGCAACCCAGGATCCCCGGGGGTGGCAGTGGTTATGCTGGCGGGGGTGGTGCTGGTTGTGGCCACGGCAACGGTGAGGGGTGAGGAGGAATGCGGTGGAGGGCTGGGAGGAAGAGGGCCCCCAGCCTCCCGCTCCAACAGCAGGGCGATGGTGGGGGAGGCAGTAGTCAGCAGGGAGACGGCATGGTCATGCCTGGCCTCAGTCACGTCCACTCCATTAATCTGTGAGAACACATCTAAGTCAGGGAGGCCCAAGGGCAGGATGGGACAGAGGGTGAGGGAGGGCGTGTGGGGCGGGCCCCAACCCCACTCACAGAGAGGACTCGGTCGCCAACCTGCAGCGTGCCGGCGCGGTGAGCAGCACCGCCCTCGGCAATTCGGGAGATGAAGATGCCCTGCAGGGGAGGGTGAAGGGGAGCCAGGGCTGCCAGTGAGGCTGGAGCAGCCCTCCCCGGCCCCGGAGCAGCCCTCCCCGGCCCTGGGCCCCAGTCTCACCGCATCACCAGCCCGGTAGGGTGTGGAGCCTTTCCCACCAGCAATGCTGAAGCCCAGCCCCCTTTCACTTCGAGCCAGGCAGGCCACATGTCGCTGCCGGAGGGGCCCCGGGCTCTCGGGCGGGAGCAGGGGCAAGCGCAGGCCCCCTCCCCGCCGCTCCCGGGGACTGTAGTCATCCTCTGGCCGCAGAGGCGTGATGGTGACTGCGTTCTCGGGCTCCACCATGCGCTCACGCCACACTCGCATGTGCACCGCAGTGCCAGCCCCCCGGAGTGCCTCCACGGCCTCATGGTGCTCGGCGCCTTGCAGAGCCACGCCGTTCACCTGCGGGCCACAGAGGCCACATGCACGTCAGAGCCGTGTGCAGCCACCAAAAGCCAAGCGCTGGTGGCTCCACATGCTCCCTTCAGGACGGGGAGACTGAGGCACAGGGCAGGGGGAGAGGTCCCAGGCTCTGACACCACCCTAGCCCTTTACATACGGGGTTCTTCGTGGGCACTGACCGCCCCAAACCAGGTCCTTGGAAACCCATGTGTGCAGCCCCACGGCTAGAACACAGGTTGGCCACGGGAGGCAGGCAGACATCCCCACAACTAGGCCACACGCAGCCCCACTCCTGGATGCCTCCTGCCCATCTGAGCAGCCCAACACACACCTGAGCTCACGGGCTTACTGACCCACGCTCCCACCCCAACACCCAGGGACAAGAGTTCCCACGAAAAGGTTAGAAGAGCTGAGTGGCAGAAACAGCGTGAGCCGTGGGCAGACGCCTCCTGGCCGGGCTTCAGGGCCCTCACCTGCCCTCAGGGTGTCCCTATGAAAAGAGCATGTGCCTCTCCTGAGCCCCCTGACACGAGTGCCCAGGCTGGATGGCCAGGTGCCCAGGCGGGAGCTCCAGGGCTCCCATACAGGGTCCAAACTCCATCAGACCAGCCATAGCCTGGCCCCTCCTGGAGAGGCCGCTGTGCCTGGTGCAGCCGCTGCCAGACCCATGGGGCCTCTTGCCCAGATGGCTCTCCCCTGGGGTTTACTGATTCTGTGGCTTCGCCTAGAAGTCTTGGTGTCCTGTGTTTAGAACTCTTGGGGGGCTGGAAGAAGGCAGCCAATCACCCTAATACCACGCACTGTGTACCTCCAGAGGGCACAGCTGCCACTTGGGGCCAAGGGGTTCCCAACTCACCTCAAGGAGCTTGTCACCCACGCGGACTCCAGCCCGGGCTGCAGGGCCTTCCTCGGACACCCGGGAGATGAATATGCCCTAGAGCACAGACACAAGCTTGGCAGGGGCCAGGAAAGGGGGCCCGTAGTCCTGCCCCTTCTGCAGAAGAACCAGGAGGGGAAGACCCACTCTCAGCAGCCCCCAGCCCTGGCCAGCAGGAGGGCTGAGCGCTGGCCACTGCGGGATCCTGAGTGCCAAGGCTGGAAGGAGCAGATCAACCCCAAGAAACAGCTCGTGGCCCCAAGCCTGGTGCAGAGGCACCTGGCGAGAGAAGGGAGGCCAAGAAGGGAGGACAGACCCATACTCCCTCAGGTTGCCCTTGGACTTCAGGATCCTACAACAGTTGGTGCCTTGGGCCCAGCCCATGTCAGGACGTGGAAGTGTCCACAGGGCAAGGGGCCTGCACGCCATTGGTGTGAACTGAGGTGGAACAGGCGGTTGGCGGTGGGGCCCAGGCAGTGCTCACCTCATCATCCCCCTTGTAGGGCGTGGAACCCTTGCCACCCGCAATGCTGATGCCCAGGCCCCCAGTCTGCCGCAGGATGGTGAGAGTCAGCTGGAAACAGAACAGACGAGGTGTCCAGGAAAGGCCGCAGCAGGGATGCCTGTGCTCTCTGCAGGAGAACCCGCCGGTGTGCAGACACCATTTCTGGCTTTCCCTGCGCAGCTGCATGGGGTCTCATGCCACTCGCCGCCCAGGGCCAGCGCAAGGGCCAGCTGGAGAAGCCCCGAGACCCCAGCAGAAGAGCAATTCTCTGCAGAGTGTGGGGGACCGGGGCTTGTCCACCTCTGGGTGATGGAGGCCCGAGGCCTCCCTGCCGCCCGTCAGAGGATGAGGCTGTGCCGCCTCTGCAGAGAGGTAAGCCTCAGCGCCACAGGTGGCTGCCGGGAGCCGGCCCAACCTCTCCGCTCGCCCCTGACAAGACAGGCTAGCCCAGGTCCATCTGAGAGCTCTTTTGCGGGGGGGTCTGTGCTCAAGCAACAGGGGTGGGGAGAGGCACGAGCCCGCAGCCCGGGAAGCAAGGCCAGCAGCGGCCCGGCCAGAGTGCAGAGCGAGCAGTACAGACCTCTTCCTCCTCAATGCGAGCAGGCTCTATCAGCAGGTTATTGGCCTGGTCAAACGACACCCCCTGTTAGGACAGGACCAGCGAGGCATGCAGGTTAGCCACCGCCAAGACCACCACCACCGCCTCACCCAGCCCCCGCCACGAGCAGAAAGGACAGAGACCACACCAAGCTCCCTTGGCCGCCACTCCACAGGCGCCTCCATCCTGGAGGCGTGAGTGACGCTGCACACCCAGGACCAGCAGGGCTCACGGGGACCAGGCTCAGCTATCATGCCTCGGCCCACGCTTGGGGATGGGCTGTCATCAAGGGCAGGGAGAGGGGCCTGGGGCCTCCCCTGGCATCTGAATTTGCCCAGAGAGCAGGTGAGACCCTTTGTGAGCCACAGGGAAGAGACTTGAGGACCAGAGAGGGGCACACTGGTGCCCCAAAGGCCTGTGTGGCACCTTAGGAGGGCCCGACAAGGCTGAACAGCCATAAGGGCCTCAGCCCCACAGCCAGTGCACAACATGGGGAGGGGCCCAGAGAGCTCAGGGATCCTGGGAGAGGAAGGAGCTCTGCCCTGGGACCACTACACATGCAGACAGGCCCTGGTAGGCCCACAAAGGGCGGGCAGCCACGCTTGGCTTCTGCGAGCTCTGTGCTTGCCAGCAGGTCCGGATACCGGCCAGCAGAGCCGCCCCTGGCACTGAGACCAACGCCAGGGCAGGCCTGGGGCCTGGTGAGAGCGACCACGATGCCAACAGTGGAGCATGCATGTCCACGACCTTCTTTGGGTGGCCGGGGGCCAGTGGGTCAGGCCCTGGCCCTGCCCCAGCCCTGGGTGCTCAGGAGGGCCAAGTGAATGTGGGCCAGGCAGGGGTGAGGCTGCCACCCACCTTGACAGAGGGCGCAGACACCACAGCCCCCTCCTTGTCCTCCTCCTCAGTGCTGGTCCCCTCTTCAGCCCTGTCTTCCTCCTCCTCCTCCTCCTCCTCCTCCTCCTGAGGCCTGGCCTCTTCCTCCTCCTCCTTCTGAGCCCGAGGAGCCCAGGGTGCATGGGGGCCGTTGTGCCAGCCCCCGGGAGCCGCAGGGCCCTCCCCGTCGGGCTGCATGCCCTGCAGCAGGGCCACCACAGCCTCAGGCTGGGGCAGCTTGGAGATCTTGAAGTGCTTTTTGTAGTGAGGTGTGTCTTTGCGGATGAGCCGCTGTCTCCCGCCCGGCAAGGCCCAGGGGACCTCGGGCTGCCCCTCCTCGCTCTCCTGGTCGTCCCCCGGCAGCAGCGCGTCCTCCGCGAAATGCACTGTGGGCTGTGCAGGTGCAAGGGTGAGGGAGGCCCCAGCTCTGCGGCTGCGCATCCACAGGGAGGCCCCGCTAAGCAGCGTGTCCACACCACAGAGAGGGGCTCTGAAAAGCTCCCTCCATACAAGGACTCAGCGTAACTGCCCAGTGACGGACAGTCGTCTCAGCCCTGAGGAGGCCAGAAGGCCATGGGGCTCTTCCTGGAGACATACAATGCCCAGGTAGAAACAAAGAGGGTGCCAAGGCCTGACACCGGGGAGCCCACGCTGGAGTCAGGAGGCAGTCTGTGATGGGGGTGGGGTCTGTGAGCCCAGCTGTCGGGGGAGACGCTCACCCCACCTAGGTGGCAGCTCTATGGGGCACCCTCAGCAGCACAGCCCCGTACCACCCACAGCCACTCTGTACAGGGCAGTGCCCCGCAGGTTCCAGCCTCGTCCACGAAGCATCAGCAGGGCCCAGCCCGCACCCAGCGGGCCCAGCCTCCCACCTCCGCCCTGCCCGTTCGCACCTCCTCGTAGCCGTCCTCGGTGTCTGCCTCCCCACCAGCAGTCATGGCTTCCTGCTGGCTCTGCCCCTGTGCCTCGGCCGATGGACCCTCGGGTTCGGCCTCAGAGACGGTGCTGGCAGACGGGCGAGAGTCTTCACTCATGCCAGACTGAGCGCTCAGCCGCTTCTCCTGCAGTGGGAAGTAGGGTCAGGCTTTGAGGGCGCTCCCGGCTCAGAGGCCTCCTACATGACAGTCACTCCGGGCTTCCCGTTGCCCCAACCAGGCACTGTAACAGGCTCATGCCCTTGAGGCTGCTCTCCATCCCAGTCCCCAACGAAGCCACGCGTCTCTGGGGCCTAGTGTGTGCAAAGTCACAGTTCCACGGCCCAGCACTAAGGAAAGCCTTTCCCAAAAAGAACGAGGACCACACAAGTTCCCAGGAGAATCCCGCCTGATACGAGCCTCCTCCCCTCCCACACACCCTACCCCAGCCCAGATCACTGGTGCTGCTACAGCCTGGTGCCCACAGTGTGCGTGTCCCAGTTCTGAGTGAGGAGAGTCAGGCCTGCTGTGCCAGCCCCAAACCCCTTCCTGGGTACTGATACCCATGCCAGCTCCGCCAGAGGCACACCCACCCACCCCGCAACCAGAACCCATTCCCTGTGCTCCCAGGCACACCTGCCTCTGGTTCTCCCCGTATGCCAGCCCCACAGGTCTCCCTGCACGACTGGCACATCCACCCTGGCACCCCGTCATCCAGCTGGCCCCGCAGCTCCAGGTCCCTGAACCTGTCACCAGCCTCATCTCCTGCCCCTTCTCTGTGCTGCCCTGGCCCTCACAGCCCCACTCCCAGGATGGACCAGACCACTGCAGCTCCTGAGGGCAGTGGCCTGCCAGGCTGCTACGGCTCCATGCCCACCTCCTCCACAGGCAAGGGTGATCCAGGGTCTGGCTGGCAAGGGCAGGCCTCACTCCGCCGCCCCTCGATGCTCCTCTTCATCACCTTGAGCTCGCTGGGGTGAGGCGTGGCCCGGCGCTGGAGGCCCTGACGTGGGGACGAGGGTGAGCAGCAGCCGCAGGGCAAGGCTCAGGTGCAGGTTCACCTCCCAGGTCCCCACCCCCATTACCCGCTTCTCGGCTGCCGCCTCCTCGGCGTCCTCGTCCCCTGCAGGGGCCTCCACGAACTGGATGACGCTGATGCGGCTGGGGGGGGCGTCGCTCCAGCTCTCTGAGGGGCTCCCCTGCTGCCCAGCATCCTCTGTAGCAGGTGAGTGTCAGGACCCAGGCTGGTCCCCAAGCACCGCCTGAGGCCCACCCACACCAAGTGCCTGTTGCAAGCAACCTACCGAGGTTAGGCGGGGGCTGCTGGGGCAGCAGGTAGCAGGTGAGCACCTTCTCGCCAGTCTGGGCATCGTCCTCCGTCTGGAACCGGAGCATGGGCTGCGCCTGGTTCTCTGCCAGCCACAGAGCCTTGAGGTTGAGGTGGGTGAGCGCGAACGGCAGACTCTGCAGCCTGAGGGCCGGGCAGGCACAGTCAGCACGCGCTGGGGCCACAGTCGGGCCTGTGGGGCCAGGCTGGCACTCACCGGTTCCCTGCCACGTCCAGCACGTGCAGCTCGGACGTGTGGGCCAGCTCTGGCGGCAGGAAGGCCAGGCGGTTGTCCCTCAAGGAGAGGACGCTGAGCGCCACGCAGCCCCCGATCTCCGGCGGCAGTGCCTCAAGCTGGTTCCGGTCCACGTTGAGGTTGGTCAGTTTTGTCAGCTTTCCCAAGGAGCGGGGCAGGGCCTGGCCAGGAAGAGGAGATCAGAGTGCTAAAGGCTTGCTGGGAGTGGGAGACAGATCACAGCCCATGAGGGCAGAGCCACAGAGACCCCAGGCCAGCTCCAGCCAGGACCCCTCGCAGCCCTTGGAGACCTGGACAAGGACCTGACCACGGAAGCCGTCTCCATCCCACTCTGTGTCCTCTGCTCCCCAAGCTCTGCCCACTGCCCTCAGCCTTCAGTCCCCACCACCAAAGCACCCCACCAAGTCATCCCTGGCTCTCACCCATGGGTGCCCTGGACTGATCTGCGAGCCTGTCTGGTGCCTCACTCATCTGCCCTGCCATTCCTAGGGCTGCCGAGGCCTGCTCAGGGCCAGCCCCTTCCCAAAACCCTAAACCCTAGACTCCCTTTCTTCTTCTCCCCACTGAGGACTCCTCCCACGAATAAGCACCCTTCCCACAGCTCACTCCTGTTTCCCAGCCTGGGGATGGCAGCACCACCATCCCTCAGCCCTGCCCTGGAGTGGGCCTCAGCTTGCCCTGATTTGTGAGGGGCAGCCAGATGCCCCTGGGGAGCAGCATGGCTTCCTGCTCCCAATCTGCCCTTCCTACAGACCCATCCATCCCATCCCTGCCTTCTCTGCAACCGCTCCCATGTTACAACACACACCAGAAAAAAACACAACCTGGATTCTTCACTGCAAAGGGCAAAGGTCCCTGCCCTGACTCTGCTGCCCCACCTCACCTCTGGCCAGGAGGTTCCCCTTCTGACGGGAAAGGAGCCCTGTCCAAAGAGCTCCATGGGTCAGGCCACCGCCAGCACCCCCAGCAGCACACACAGGCCAATGCCTGCCTTGTTCTACACGCCCACTGGCCCCATCCCTTCCGCCTGGCAGGCTGGACCCTACCGTCCCTTCTGCCTTGCAAACTGGACCCTACCATCAGCAGGTTCTCCGTGAGGATCAGCTCAGAGAGGTTCTCACAGTCCCCGATGGCCTCGGTCACCTCGCACAGCCGGTTCTGGTCTACCTTTAGGATGGACAGCTGCTTCAGCTGACCTGGTGTCGGGCAAACAGGGTGACATGGTTGAGCACAGCCACAGACATGCTTTACCCACCTGGGCAAAGGTGCCCTCAGGGCAGCGGGTGAGGCCCCCAGTCCCTCTTGCCGCCGCTGTACTTCAGGAGGGTCCTCCCTACCTTGCCCCAACAAGCCTGACCCAACCTCCTTTGAGAAAACACCAGGCTCCAGTGGCACTACCCACCCTCTGCTCTCATGGGCTCCACCGCCCCCTTCAGCACCACCAGCTGCCTCCTCAGCCTTCTGAGATGCCCCAGGGCCCCACCACCCCTCCTCAGAAACAGGTCCCAGAGCCTGGGTAGACCTAGTATCCTCCCGTGCTCCACACCACGCACAGCCCCGACACCCCCTGCTCCTTCTGGAGCCAGGCTCTATGAGCAGCACCCCGCACCCCCAGGCACGCTGACCAATGCCGTCGGGCAGTCGCCGCAGCAGGTTCTGGGACAGCAACAGGTCCGTGAGCAGCACTAGCCCACCGAGCTCGGCCGGCAGCTCCTCCAGCCGGTTTTCTGACACGTCCAAGCATACCAGGCGCCGCAGGTTCCCAAGCTCCTGCAGGCAGGCAGAGAGTCAGAGCACAGACAGGTAAAGGCAGAAAGCCAGCCCCACTCTCACTCACCGGAGGCAGTGCTGACAGCTGGTTCCGGTCCAGCCACAGCTCCCGCAAGTTGGGCAGAGCCCCCAGGGTGTCCGGCTGCAAGAAGGGACAGAGAAAAGAGTCGCTGTGGGGCGAGGCCTCCTGCTGCGCCACGCCCAGGAGACTACACGCCCTGGCACCCAGCCCCCACCCGCGGCCCTCCGGTCTCCGCCCTGCCGTCTGTCGGGCCTCCACACACCAGCACTTCCAGGTCGTTGCCTCCCAGATCCAGCTGTTCCAGCTTGACCAGAAAAGACAGGGACCTGCACAGGAATCAGGGTGAGGTGTCACCACGCAACCCTGGTCCCCAGGCCGTGGCGCTGCCCAGGCCGTTGGGAAAATGCCTGTCACACTCACGCTGGCAGGGACTTCAGCAGATTCTCCCGGAGCTCCAGGGTCACCAGGTTGGCAAGGCTGAAAGAGAGACCAGGAGCTGAGGCATGAGGAAGGCAGGCAGGCAGTGGCGGCAAGGGCAGGGCCAATCCAAGCCCCAGCCCCCACCCGAGAGGGCACTCACTTGCCCACATCCCCGGGCAGTGCCTGCAGGGACACGTCATTCAGGGCCAGATGAGCCAGGCTGCGCAGCTGAGTGAAGCCATCAGGGAGCCTGTATGGGAGGAAGCAGAAGCTTCCAGATGACCAGAGCAGGGCTTCGGGACCCACAGCCCCTCCCGAACCCACCACAGGCTGCAAGACCCACAGCCACTCCCGACTCTACCACACGCTGCCAGCCACCTGGAGAGAGGGTTCCCACTGAAGTCCGCGATCTCCAGAGCCTTGCAAAACTTGATGCTCTCCGGGATCTCAGGGATATCTGTTAGAGGGTCACAGTGAACAAGTGTCGTGACCTGCAAGACATCTGTGGCCCCAGCAGACACGCCCCTGGATCCACCCAGCCCCCGCCAAGGCTCCCCACCATTCCGGGACACGTCCAGCTCCACCAGCTGCATGAAGTTGGCCACCTCGGGAGGCAACCGCTGAATCTCGTTGTCACTCAGGCCCAGCTTACGCAAGTTCAGCAGCCGGAAAAAGGGCTGTGGGCAGGAAGGACACGAGCTGTGTGGCAGTGGCCACTCCAGAGCAGAGAAGAGCTCCTGGACACGTGGGTGTCACAAGTCAAGGGTCCTCGGGCCTCTGCCTCCTCCAGGTCACACAGGGTCCTGGAGTCCAGCCACGACACCCCATTTGTGGCAAGGAAAGCAAAGAAACACACAGTGCACACGCCCACTGTGCCTGCCTCCCTCCACTCCTCAGGCCGGCCTCCACTCCAAGAAGGGACCTGCTCACAACCAGACAAGGCCCCTATCCCCTGTTCTGTGTCTTACCTCAGGGCCCACCCAGCCCTTAAACCACTTCTGCCATCCTCCAGGGGCCCACATTGGCCTCTGCTACTGCACCCCAACAACGAACATGGTTTGGTTCTGCAGCAAAAACTCAGTAAATGGTTCCCAAAAGAACCTTAACAAAAACAACAAGGCACCACAGGCACCGTGCTATGTGCAAGGCCTGCAGGTGGCCAAAGAGAACAGAGATGTCACTGCCAGGACCAGAGCGGGGCCACATTCTTTGGGGCACCCAACTCTTAGGCATCAGCCACTTGGCACCCTGTCTCCAGAAAACAGATGCTTCCTAAGCTGCTTTCTCCATCCTCCTTTCTGGAGCAGTCTTAGGAAAACAGCTGACCCTGAGAAACAAAGGCAAAGAAAGAGAGCCTGCACGCAGATCTGACAAGGAGCTTCCCCACTCACCCCTGCCTGCACCCAAGAAGAAAAGGAGAGGAGGCCGGAACCCCACCTCAGAGCGGCCCAACAAGCCGGTACTCATCAGCCACCCGAGCCCAAGTTCCACCGTAATCCCACCAACCTCCCTGAATCCCCACGGATTTTACTCTGTGAGGCTCCTCCTCCAGGCTCGGTGACAATCGCTATCCCCAGGCAAGCACCTGATGACCGCTGCCACCTGTGCCAGCCAGGGCGGCTGGGAGGGGAGGGTGGGGCTGGCTGGGGTGGGGACCTGGCCAGTGCAAACCAGCAGGGCCGGCTGGAAGCTGCGGTGGCTCGCCCAGGCAGATTCTGCCGACCGAGGAGCCGGGGGCTGGGCGCGCGCCGGCGGGCGGCAGGTGCGGGCGGCCGCTCACCTTGGGCAGCTCGCGCAGCTGGTTGGCGTCGAGCAGCAGCTCCTCCAGGCTGCGGCTGTAGCGGTAGATCTCCTCGGGCACAGCCTGCAGCGAGCAGTGCCGCTTGTCCACCGACTCCACGTGCCGGTTGCAGCGCCACAGCGGGATGCACTTGAGCATGGTGCGGGCGGGCGGCGCGGGCTCCGGCGGCGGCGCTCGGCGGGCTCGGGGCCGGGGGGCGGGGCTCAGTCCGCATGGGCGCCGCGCAGAGAGAGGGGGCGCGGGCAGGGGGCGGGCCGCCCAGGACTGGACGGGGACGCGGCCGGGGCCGGCGCTGGGCCCGGCCCGCGCTCGGAACGCGCGGAACGCTCGGACTGCGGGCCTGGGCGGGGGGCGCGGCCCGGCGGGTCTCAGACTCTCAGGAGGCGCGGGGAGCGGCGGCGGCGGCTCCGCATCCCGCTCGGTCCCGCTCAGCTCGTCCCGCCAGCCCGTCCGCTCGCCGTGCCGCACCGGAACCGCCACTGCCCGCCGGACTGCCCCGCCGACACCCACCCGGCCGCCGCGCAGCCCGCCGGGAAGCCGAGTCCGGCCCTCGCCGCCCAGCACGCCCGGACTGCGGCCCCCAGAAGGCCCTGCGCGCCGCCGCCTCCGACGACCCGTAGCGGCCCCGCGCACAGCCTGCCGGGAAGCCGGGCCCGCCCCGCGCGGAGAGTTGTGGGAGCTGCAGTCCACGCCGGGCCGCCCCCTCCGCCGGCCGAGGCATCGTCTTCAGCCCGGCCTCTGGCCCCTCGGCACTTGACCCCGCATCTCATCGCGCAGCCTCCTTCCGAGAGGCGACCACGCCAGGCTGCTCCCTCGAACTGGAAGGCCGGCTCCGCGGCACGAAGGCACTGGCAGCGCGCGCTGTCCAGCGGGTCGAGGTGTCACGGGGCCGTCTTCTCCCAGCACCACCCTGCGCGGACGGGATGGCTGCGCGCCCGCACCCGGGAGCCAGGCGCCCCAGGCAGCCCCGCCCGCCCAGCCTCCGGCACCCGCGGGGCAGAGCCCAGGGCGCCGACCCCCTCCCCAGGTCCCGCGCCGAGGACCCGCTTGCCTCCATGCATGCAGCAGGGCTAGAGGACCCGCACCTCGCCACTCCTGCCGCCTCACCCTAGACCCCCTAAGGACACACACACCGAGGATGGATGACAGGACCAACGGCAGACACACGGACGTTCAAGGCCAGCAGCATCCGCACCTTTATCCGCACTATACGCTGGGCTGGGCAGAGGGTGCCTGGCCCCGGGGACACCACTGTTATCACTATAAAACCCAGAGGAAACACGGAGCAAGTACAAGTCCAGGCAAAGGGGCCAATGTCACGCAGAGAGGTCACTGTTATCAAAACGCTCCTGGTCGTACACTTCAGCCACCACCTTGCGGCCAGCAAACCAGCGCCCATTGAGGGCCTGGATGGCCTTATGAGTCTCAGAGGCTATGGAAAACTCTACAAAGATCTTGACAATGATTTCTGCATCCTCCTCCTCGCCTTGCTTCTCTTGGTAGATGATAACACGGTTCACAGCCCCGAACTTGCCACACTCCTCTGTCACCTCCCCTTCCAGGTCGTCATCGATGTCCTTGGGGTCCACCATGTTGCGCAGAACCATCACTGTGGACTGTGGGGGGGGGAACGGCTGAGTGCTTCGGCCCCACTCCCCTACCGTCCCCCCCTCACCGGCCCCGTGGCGCACCTCCTGCTTGCGGAGCAGCTTCTGCATCACCATGTGGCGGGCGCTGCTGCCTGAGATGCTCATGTGCTCCTGCTCGCTCAGCATCTCTGGCCGTTCTGAATCGGGAAACAGCTCCTCCTCTTCCTTTTCCTTCTTGGGCTCCAGGAGACCCAGCGTCGGAGGACTGGCCAGGATGGGGTTCACCACGCCCACGGAGGGGATGGTGACCGGAATAGGAGGACGGGCTGGAGTCACACCTGCAGCGAAACCAACCAGGTCCAGCAGTCACCCCCCACCACCCCCCTTCCCAGAAAGGCACAGAGCTAGCCGGCCATGGATGGCCTACCCTGGGCTCAGAGGGCTGCACCTGGACCACCTGAGTCAGGCAGCTGAGGGCAGCGGGAAGAGAGATGCCACGGCAGGAGAGGAAAGAATCTGGACCCACTTAGACTCACCTGTGATGACTCCAGGTGCCTGGGCAGCCATGACAGCCTGGGGCAAAGCCCCCAAGGGCTGAGCCAGGGTCAGTGCTGGGGACACCAGTCCGGGTGTGCCCAGGGTACCCAGTACTGCTGCTCCAGCCACTGCTTCCTGCAACCCAAAAGGTCACCATCATCAGTCCCTGGTCCAGCTACTCAAGATCACCTTCAATCAGTCTACAAAATCAGGAGCCCGCCCACCCACCCGCCATCATGCTGACATAGCTGTGTGGGCCCTCACCTGAGCCGTGATCTTGGCAGTGGCTGCAGCAGCTGCCACAGCAGCCGCAGGTGGGAGGCCTCCAGGCGTGGCCGGTGTGAGCAAGGGCATGGGCGGTGTGACAGCCTTGCCCACCCGCAAGTACTGGCCACCCAAGTCAAAGAGGTTCATGGAGGACACGGCGTCTTGGGACGACTGAGCCTTCTCATACTCTGTGGGCGAGGGCAGCAGTGAGCAGGGCCAACCCCAGTCCTGGGTGGCCCCCATCCTACCTCAACCGCCCCAGCTCACCAATGAATCCATAGCCCTTGTGCTTGCCAGTTGTGGGGTCCCGGGCCAGCGTGCAAGACTTGATCTTGCCAAAGGCTTCAAACACACTCTTGATGTCATCGTCTGAGAGGTCCTGGTGCACAGAGGCCACGTAGATGCGGTTGAAGGCCCGTGCCTCCTCAGCCAGCTGATCTATGATGGGCTGGGCCTGCCCTATGTTGCTGGGTCTGCCCACCTGGGGAAGAGGCGGCAAGATGGAGAGACACATCAACCCAGGCCCAGCCACAAAAGGCTTCTATGGAGGGGCCACCCTGCATGCCTGTGGGATGGAGGCCTTGTCACCCTGCCTTACCTTGATGTTCCTGCCCCCCAGCATCACCGAGTTCATCTGCTCCAAGGCCAACTGTGCAGCTTCTGGGACCTCATACTCCACGAAGGCAAAGCCCTAGACACAGGGACACACCTGTCAGGCCGGGTGAGCCCAGTGCTGGGGGCGAGCCCAAAGTAGGCCAGGGCAGACCAAGCCTGCTGACCTTGTGCTTCATGGTGACAGAGTCCCAGGACATGTCGATGCTCTTGATGGGGCCAAAGGGGGCAAAGGCCTGGCGGATGGTGTCCTCTCCCAGCTCATAGTAGATGGAGCCCACGTAGACACGGCACATTATGGCCAGCGCCCGCTGCCGCTGAGCCGCCATCTGTAGCAGGACAGAGGGGAGAGAACCACTGGCTGGTCAGGGGTGGCAGGAGGCTGGGCAGCCCACTCCCCTCCTGGCCCACCCACTCAGCCCTGCTGTGGGGAGGGCTCCCCACGTGGCAGGGAGGTGCCGGCTCGATCCCTGCAGTCAGGGTGTTGGGGTTGCAGGACCCCGCCACCCCAAGAAGGAAGGCCAGGCCCAGCGGCAGGACACAGACGCACCCCAGCCCACCAAGGTCCCAGGCAGACTGCGGCAGCAAAGCCGACAGATGATCAGGAGGCAGGGTTGTGTGCCCTCCCACCCAGACCATCCCTCCAGTCTGGGGGCCAGGTATCCCAGGCTGGGCTGGGAGATCCTCCCACCGTCCCAGCCAAGGATCACAACAGAAGAGGGAAGGAGGAGCCATCCAGGCTGGAGGGACCCACTGGTTTGGTGGTCGAAGAGAGGAGGGCAGAAGACAGGGCAATTACTGCCCAGAAGAGACCCCAGGGGAGGAGTTCAGGAGCCTGGATGGGGGCTCCTTGAAGACAGAATGAGGAGCAGCTGCTCATGTGGGGCCAACTGAGGTGGGGGCTCATGCTGTGCCCTGCAACTCCTCACAAAGGAGCTGCCTGGAGCCCGTACCTGCCGCCAAGAGAGCAGGCCCAGGCGAGACCACTGGCCTGGACCCCAGGGGCACCATGAGGTAGCAGAGACCCTAAGAGAAGACCCCAGGCTCCTTGGAGCTGGGGAGGTGACAGGCCTGGCCAGTCCAGGTCCTTGGCTGTGAGCTTGGCTGCTGTGCTGAAGGACTTCCCCACACCCTCAGGGACAGGTTCTCGCCCCTGCCACCTCACAGGAGACCTGCCAGGCAGGGGACTTCCAGAGCCACACGCAGCGGGCCACAGGGAGACTGCAGGCCAGGGCAGGCAAAGCAGACAGAGCTGGAGCCAGGCCCTGCCCCTCTCCATAAAAGAAGACCAGTTTCCCTCTTTAGACATCAGCTGGCCTAGTACAGGTCAGACCGCCCCCTCCCATGGAGAAGGGCCTGGAAGCACCTCCCAAGGTGAGGTATCTTCCTTTCAACTAGGAATTCCCTGAAAATAAGACTGTGTTCTCCTAAAACTGGGCCCCTAACAATTTGGCCTCAGGCTCCCTACTCAGAGCAAAGCCCCCCAAAGGTGGAATCACATCCCCCTCGCTCAGCAGGCTCCCCAGAGACTAGACCAGGCCTGTCCCTCAGGCCATGGTTCCCCCAAGACAGGGTCGTGTCTCCTCTTCAGTGTAAGGCCCCATCCCCAGGCAGGCTGAGAGCTCTCTCCCTGACCGGAACCCCGGCTTGGGCTCCCTTTCAGATGCTTCCGGGAGAGAATAAGGCGTGTCGTCCCACCGGAGCCGCACACGCAGGGACGCCCCCTCTGCACAGAGGCTCCCAGAGAAGGGGCCGTGTCTTCCCCTCAGGAACCCCGAGATGGGGCCTGGCCTCCTCCTCAGCCTGCCTCTGGGGAAAGGGAGGGGCACCTCCTTCCCGGACTCCTCTGCCCACCACAGCCAAGGCCATAGCTGCGGCCCCTGCCTCCTCCACCCTGGCTGCGTGGCCTCTGCCCCTTGCTGACAGCCAGGCCCGAGGCCCTGCTTGCCCTTCCCTTGCTCGCTTGGGTCCCCCCACCCCCACCCCATCCATCCATCCTCCCTCCAGGGTCTGATGGGGCCATGAGTTAGGACCCCTCTCTCCTCAGGGGCCTGACCCCAACCCAAGAGCCAGGCAGACTGGAGACTGACGGGGCTGGAGGCCATGGGTGCACCCCGTGTGTGCAGGTGGTGTGGGCGCAGACGGGCTTGGTGCCGGCAGCTACCCGCCCTGGCCGGCTGCCCTCCGCAGTTACCTGGCCGGTTAGTTTTAAGGTGGGCCCTCAGAGCAGATGGAGGCCTCCCCAGGGGCGGTCCCGGGTGGGTGCCCACACCACTGGCCCCACCACGCCTGGCGCTCTGCTGCGCTCGTCCAGAGCTGGCGGGCAGGGCCGGCCAGGGGAGCAAGGTCCCCAGCACGTGGGCTGCACTGCCCCCCTCTAGCCCTGACTAAGGACATGAGCCCCGGAAGAAGTGAGCATTTCTATTGACCGATTGCAAAGGTGAGAGAGGATCTCCAAAGCCCATTGTCACTGCTGCCATCTGAAAGACAGTAAAGACAGAGTTC